TTCAGAGAATCACAGAATGAGTCTGTTTGGAAATAACCACAGTGGGTTATGTGGTCCAATCCCCTGCTCAAGCAGGGACATCCCACAGCACATGGCACAGGATTGTGTCCAGACAGTTCTTGAATAACTCCAAGGAAGCAGACTCCACAACCCCTCAGGGCAATCTGTTCCAGTGCTTGGTTACCTGCCCAGGGGGATATGGTGAGACACAGTGACAAAAGCCTTACTGAAGTTGAGGTTCAGCTGTTATCCATCCAGGTAGCTGTTTCATCATAGAGGTCAATCAGATTGGTCAATCATAATTTACTTTTACTGAATCCATGCTGACTATTCCTGGCGACTTGCTTGTCATCCATGTAGATAGAGATGGTCTCCAAAATGAGGCATTCAATCAGCTTTCCAGGGATTGAGGTGAGGCTGACTGGCTGGTAGTTGTGTGGATCCTCCTCCTTTCCCTTTTTGAAGACTGGGATGGCGTTTGTTTTTTTCCAGTCCTCAGGCACCTCTCCTGATTGCCACACCTTTTCAGGGATGATCATGAGCAGCCTTGCTGTGGTATCCAGCATCCCTCTCAGCACTTGCGGATGCACTCCGTCCAGGCCCTTGGATTTGTGGATGGTCAGGTTTACCTAGGTGATCTCCGACCCAGGTCTCCTTGACCAAGGGAAAGTTTGCCTTCCAACAGTCCTTTTCCCTGGTTTCTTGGGTCAGCGATTCCAGAGGTCTCATCTTACCAGTGAAGACCAGTGCAAAGGTGGCATTCAGTAATTCTGCCTTATCTGTATCCTTTGTTATGAGAACCCCTCTCCATGTAGTGATGGGCCCACATTATCCTTAGTTTTCCTTTTGTTACTGATGAATTTGAAAAAGCCTTTCTTGTTGTCCTTTGGCCAGATTTAATTCCAGGAGTAACCTGGCCTTCATTTCATTTGAACTTACTCTGACAACCTCTCTACATTAATTCCAAGTGGTCTGACCGCTTCCATCTCCTCTGCATTTCCTGCTTACACTTGAGTAATGACAGTAGTTCCCTTTTATCCATGCAGGTCTCTTGACCCCTTTGCTCAATTCCTTGCTCACTAGGATGGCTTGTTCTTGACTCTGGAGAAAGCGATCCTTCAATAGTAACCAACTCTCTTGGACCCCTCCTCCCTGTTCCCATGGGATTCTTTCAAGAAGATCTCCTGATGAGGCTAAAGGTAGTTCTTTAGCCCTGAAGAGGCTGAAGCTTACAATTTACTTGCTGCCTTGCTTCTCCTTGTTCTATATTGAACTTCACAATCTCATCATTTCTGCTGCCAAAACTGCCCCCGACTTTCACATCTCCAACAAGGATCTCCCTGTTTTTAGTGAAAAGTCAAGGAGCACACCATTCCTTGTGGGAGCCTCCACTACCCATGTCAGGGAGATGCCATCAGTGCTTTCCAGATTCCTCCCATCCTGTTTGTGCTTCATGGTGCTGCTTCTCCAGCCATGTCAGGGTGGTTGAAGCCCCCCAAGGAACCAGAGCCTGTGGCTGTGGGGCTGCTCCGAGCTGCCTGTTCAAGGCCTGGCCCACTCCCTCCCCCTGACCAGGGGCCTGTAGCAAACACCCTCAACAGCATTACTCTTGCCACTCTGCCCTTTTACCCTAACTCATAGGCTCTCAATTTGCTCATCACCCACCCCAAGACAGAGCCTGATGCATTCCAAGTGCTGCCTCACACAGAGGGCAACTCCACCACTGTCCTTCTGATGCACCCATACACTTACATACACCCTTTATCCTTGAAATCTGAACACCCCAAACGTTACGGCAAGTCACAAAGACTTGCTTAGAACACTAGAATTTGCCAAGTTTGAAAATCTGCAATGCATCTTGATGGAACGATTGCAGGTTTAGTATACAAATTTAAATTATATAAATATTTATAAATAGTTATATAGACAATTATTTTCATTAGTGTAATATTGTATAAAAAATATTGTAAAATATTACTTCCCTAATTAGCTCCAAATCCAGAAGGATATTTAGAGATACTTAAAGGCAGCTTGTCTACCGTGAAAAAATTTAATACCAAAAAGAAAGCAGCTGATTTTACATTATTTTGTCTATATACACCTTGAATTTCAGAACTATGTTTTTCTCTCATTACTCTCTCATCAAGTCCAAGATTGCAGGAACTGAAATAGGCTGAACTATCATTAAATTACAGTGAGCCAGGTAAAAAATTTCTCATCAAAGGTGAAGTTTTCTCAATGTTTATAAGTATCTCTTAAATGAATGGCAAATGACAAAATATGAAACAGGAACAGACCCTGATGATGGTAGTGAAATGTATTTTATAGTAAGAGTCTTTTATGCTTGGGTAGAATCTCTATTGCTGAAAGTCCCACTCATCACAGTAGCTTTAGTGATCACTGATGTCTTTGCCAGTCCTCAGCGTAGCATTCAGAACTACACTGGACCAGCAGAACTAAATATGCACAGCTGCAAATCCTGTCCTCAGTGTTCCTCAGGATTAACCTGTCAGTAAAAGGGAGGCTGGAAGCAAATGCATCCCACAAATGCTGACCCATGTAAGTGGCTGAAGAAAAAGTATTACCACAAGTAGAAACAGAACTTTTCTTTTCAACAATTTTCCATTCAAATATCCCACCTAAGAGGAAAAGTCATTCTATGTGCAGTTTTTTTTCTCCTCCCATGCATTTGAGGTGAATACAAAAAGAAGGCCAAAGCTATTTCTATTTTTGTTGAAAATTAACTAATTTGATGAATGGCCATGTGTAAAATAAAGATTAACTAGGAGTACCTGAGAATGAAAAAGTAAAGAGAAAGGAGAATAAATCAGTAAGACAATGCGATCATTTATGACTGCTATAGCATTGACTTTCAGGTTACAATTTTCTATTAATATTTTGAATTATACAGAACAGAGATGAGAACTATTCTCTTTAACCACTTGAAATATAAACCATTTATCTCTGGAATTTCTGTCATGTAAATGTAATTGTAAAACTTACCAAACTCAGCACTAGACAACTACCAGCTATTTCTACACTACATCTACAACTAAGAAAAACTGTCTCTTCTTGCCATAGTCCTGGAAATCACTTCTTTCTAGGCTCTACCCATTACTGTGATCACTACTGGCAATGAAAAACAACAAAGAAACTTGGACTCATTTTATATGCAGTGGCTGCATATCCCAGCTATGCCTCCTCTGCAAGGTCTATAACTTTCCAGAATTTATTTAAAAATTCAATTCAAAGCTTGCTTCCCTGCCTTGTCTTTCATCAGGAAATACTATTTAGTGTACCCATAAAATGTAGGAGTAAAAGGCATCAAAATCAACCCAAATCTTGATACTAAAAGGAAGAGGCAGACTTGTGTTGTTCAGGGCAGGTTTTTGTACTGCTTTAGGTTGGACATTGAGAATGCTGGGTGGGGGGTGACTTGCTGTATTTTGGGTGTTGATGAATACATACACAGATTTGATACAATATTTTCCCAGATGCACCTAGCTTATGTTAATTCAATCATGAAATAACATACATAATAACATATGTAGGATAAAACTGTGATTCTTCTTCTATGAGATGCATACACAAGGCATTTAAACACCACTGAGTCCATAGCAATCATGTATAATTATATGCACAAATACTATATGCTGAAGTCTCATTATGTTTTACTATGACTCTTGCAACTAGTTTGCATACAACTTATCAGCATTACCAGCAATGCCTGGTAAAAAACACCCAAACAACTGTGTTTTTTCATTCTCCTCAGTGAAGCACAAAGTATATGCAAAGCTGATGAATGAGGCTTATACTTATCTCAGCAAACCAACCACAAATGGACATGCCTGTCACCCATCAACCTTTTAAAACATTTTAAAGAGCAAGTCATGTTCCACAGAATTCTATGGACAGGTACTTAATGTTTTGAATTGATAAAACCGATTTCAAATTATTTTATGTGTGATACTAAACAATTTAAATATTTACTGCAGCAGGAATGAAATATTTGCATATTATAGAGGCAGACTCTCTAACATACTCACATACACACACAAAAATACCCATTACATGCTTTTTTGCTTCTAACTCCTAGCAGAGTATCACAAACCCACTTGACGTCCCCAGGTGCCAGATTTTAGGTTTACAGGATGCAATACAGCAAGCAGACAGAAATACTCTGCCTTGGCCCTCTCTGAGGAGGCTGCCATGAATTGTGCACTCTAACACCAGCAAAGTTCATGAAATCGATTTTACTCAGTTAAATTATGTACATGTATTTCAAATTCAAGAACACTGTTTATATGAGGAAATGAGGCTTATACTTATCTCAGCAAACCAACCACAAGGATGTTGATAACTTAGACATCCTTGCTGTACTGCTTATGCAAAACATCACCAGTTTATCTAGTGACGTTACCAAATGCTCACACAGAAGGTTCCTCTATAGCTTGGAGGCACCACAGGCTTTGAAAATGCAGCACAACTGAATTTTGGTTAAAAAAAGCACCACATACGTGCTGGCGCTGATTAAGCTCCATCTGTGCCTGAAAGAGAATTACAGTGAAATAAGTGCCCATCAAGTGTTCTCTCAGTCAGCTCAATGCCCTTGAACAGACATCCTGTCTGATACACAGATGAAGAAAACTTTGGTGTATCAGTTTACTCTTCAAATGCTTTCACTGGGAAACACTTTTCCCTTTTCTCCCTTAATTTAATGGCCCAGCAATATTTGGTGGAAGAATGCTTTAATCTTGGTATTAATAGATGTTTTTTGCTTCTATTAAGATTATAAATGGCATCATAAAGTATGTACAGCACTGGTCAGAAATGCAGTTTTTATACTTCTGAATGTAGGTATGCACAGAAGAGCCAAGCAACTGATAATTACTTGTATTTGTTACCCAATAAAATCTCTTGCATTCCAATACAATAAAGGTGTCCTCTGCAGAATTCATTAAAGTGGGCACCCAAAAGCACAGAGATATAGAAGCACTTACATTTGCACTGTGATCACTTCCACTAACACAGACGACATCTTGTTTTTGAATTGTTAATACCTCTTTTGTAAGCTTCAGTCGGATGTCATAAGCATTTTCAGATACTTCATCATACAACAATGCAATACCAGTTTTAGTCTGCAAAAAAGAAAGGCATACACAAAAATTTAAGAATATGAGCATTTCATAATGGTGAATAACAAGCTCTATCCCATTCAATAAAGAAAAAGCATACAAATGAGCATTATTTACAGAAAGTAAATAATGGTCTACTTTTCAGTCTTCAAATGGATTAGACATAAAAAGCCTCTTTTGTACAGGAAAATACAGGATAAGTGGTCTTTGAAGTAGACATTAATATGCAAAGAGTAAAAAAAATTATAAAATTTTCTCCATTGTATTGTTACACAAAGAAGTGTTGCCAAGAATGATGTAATTATGTCCTGTTTGACTTTATTTATACAAAGATGTATGAAAATATATTAGAAACAAATAGGTATGTATAAATGTATGTGAACACATTTTCCATTTTTGGCAAGAAGCGGGGAAGTGAAATATTGCTCTTGCCTGGAATATGTTCATTCCACTCTGTCAGAAAAAGAACTGTTCCCTTCAAAAAAGTTGCCATTAAGATACAAAGTTCTGTTACAGTAGAAAACTATGTTTTCACAATGTAAAACGTGATTAAACTCAGTTGTTGCAGAATTTATTTTGTTTGGGATAAGATGAACATACATTTCTTAAGTTACATCATCACAGGACTAATAACTAGTAAACTACATAGGATAGTCAACTATTTGGTATAAATAATGTTTTCTCCATTAGTAGTAGAGAAGAAACTTTAATTTCTGGCTTATTCCCTTAACATTCATTCAGATATTCATTCATTCATTCATTACTCCCTTAACATTCAGTCAGATATTTCCTCTTCCAAACAAAAACTGTGGTATTAGGACTGCTTGTCCTAATTTGTCAAAATATGCAGACAAATGAAATTTCAAATCTTTACATTCATTGCTCAGAAGACAAAAACACCTGTTCTGAAATGAATGATCATATATAAAAGTACTATTTTTTTATTAATTTGTAATGTATATTACAGCATCATCACAGCACTGCACTTTATGTAAGTGAAGAAAAATCAAACACGATTTAAGTTTTAGCTGCAGTATTTTTTAAAAGAAGATTTAAAATGAAGTTGTTCATCTATGTTTTCTTAAATGGTAGATAGTATACAAAAGAGAGTAATGGAATTAAAGAAGAAACATGTCCTGTGTACTGAATGAAAGCTTAAGGGATTTAAAAATAACATTAAACATAAAAAATTAGCTTCATAATATTTCTATTTCTATAAAATGAGGGAGAAAGGTCTGTGGTGATTGCCAATAAAACCTTTCAGTCTTTAAAAACAGAATCAGGTTAAGCTTAAGGCACTTAGGCTACACTTTGATGTAGCTCTATGCTGCAACTGAGTGTCATAACCTCCCTTACAGTAGAAACAGAAAATGCAGGCTAGACAGAAATTAGATTTATTCTGCATTATATACACAACAGTTGTTTAGGTTAATTATTCATGTAGTTGGGCTATCCCTGAGCTCAAAACAATTGTCCCTATGTAGGTAACTTCTGCCATTCAAGACACTGAGATATCTTAAGACCTCTGCGCATGTAAAGCTGACACAGGCTTTTTAGGACAACTCCTTTTCTAGCTGGAGGCAAGACCAGATTTCCATGTTTGTAATGAGATACAAACATTGATCACATCAGCAGACATCCACATGTAGGTATCTTCAGCCTGTAATGGATGTCATGAAAGTTTTACAGTCAGAAATCACAGAACATCTTGGGCTGGGAGGGTCTTTAAAATCATCTACTTCCTATACTTTGGAAGAACACCTTCCAATAAACCAGATTGCTCAAAGCTCAAGATCCAATCTGGCCTTGAGCACTTCCAGGAATGGGACATCCACAGCTTCTCTGGAAAACCTGTTCAAGTGCCTCACTACCCCCCATTGCAAAGAATTTCTTTCTAATATGTAGCTTAAACCTATGCTCTTTCACTTTAAAGCTATTCTGCCCTGTCCCATTACTACATACCCTTGTAAAGAGTCCTTCTCCAGCTTTCTTTAAGGTGCCTTTAGATACTGGCAGGCTGCTCTAAGGTCTTTCTGGAGCCTTCTCTTTCCCAGACTGAAAACCCCAATTCTCTTGGCCTGTTTTTGTAAGAGAAACCCACATCTAAGACAGATGTTTAGAATCTGTCCAGGCAGCAGTGAGCAACAGACACCTCTGAAGCATGATTCTATCTGATCTCTTTTATACATCCATCTAGAAGGGAACAAGTGAGTCATAGCTCTCTGAACTATAAGGTAAATATAAATAACAGCTCAAATATAACTGTCTAATTGTGGGAAGATAAACCTGTTCAGCGTTTGCTGGGTATGTCTAAGGGTAAGAAAGTTCAGTCATGGTATAAAGCCTTAATCATTCTCACTTGTTTGGAATCCAATATTTATTTTTCCAAGACTTTGAGTCTTTTTACATTTTCAGCATATGTGAATGTCTTATCAATACATTTTGGTGAATGACAACATATGAAAACTGTGCCAGTACCATCTGCCTAAAAGCCATGCTGCCAGCAGGAAGTATTTCCAAACAGTGGAACTACAGACTTAAAAACCCACTGTCCCTGATTTTTGCTGTTGTTCAGATGTTGAGCATCACTGTCCCATGTGGACTGGTGACCACTGTTACTTTTGCTGTGTACCAGAGCAAACTTTACAGAAACACTGCAAGAATGGAGCTCTGGATCACTCTTTATCCAGCTTACACACAGAACAACTCTCTTGCTAGAAATTGTTACATATGTTTAGAAGAATCCCAATGAAAGAAACTCTGACCTTTCATTTGTAACAGATGATCAGGTAACAAATGAAATATGCAGAGTGCCTTGTTAAATAGTTTAGCATTTGCCATCACACTATTTCAAATGAAGTCCCACTGAAGCTCATCTATTACTATTAAAATCCAATACCTACACTACACTTCATCTAACTGCTGATGTGATCCAAGATGACGTGCAGCAATACCTTATTTGCTTCCAGAATCAATAAGATTAATCTGGATTTCTCTCAGCCTTTCAAGTCAGCTTTTTTTTTTTTTACCATTATAAATAGCTTTGAATCAAAGTTCAGCACATTCCCTTGTTCATTCTTTGTGTTAAAGAGATGGCATACATTACTCTAGTGGGCAAATCCCAGTCCAGACAAAGGGTTCTTCAAATAAGAAATTTGAAATGAGAACTTACTCTTTGCACGTATATGTATACTTCACATTTTAACTAGCTATGTTCATCTCGATTTCTCATTTAAAAACTGTCTATACAGTGGCCATTCTATGTAACTGATATAAAAAACTGAGGACTGAAAAGTCAAAATAACTATCCAAAATTATATAGTATTTTTAGAGCTCATAGATTTTGTAATAAAAAGCATCCAGAAAGTTCATAGGGAGTTGCATCTCAACAGGATTTTAATGTTTATGTTGAGAAGTAGGGGGATAGGAATTTAAATTCACTTGGGCAGAAAAAGAAATCAAACAGTGATTTTCATATATCTTAGTTTTCTAGACACTGGCTTCAGGAAGAGGAATGTATGGGTGTTCATGTGCATGTTCACCATGTGGTGGGAGGAAGACAAAAGATCAGTAGTACAAGCATCATGGTAGCTGTGACTTTTACAACAGCATAGACACTGCTCTGTTTTTGAAAAAAAGAAAAAGCCACAAACCTACATTCTCAAACCAGCTCAAAAACTGTCAATACCACAGAAAACATTCATCTCTAGAGAAAGCTAGAATAGCAGGTGAATCTTTGCATCAGTTTTATTGCTGACTACTTAAGAAGGTCCCTAGCCAATGTACTTGCCTTAAAGCATTCCCTGGTTCAGCATAATGTTTTGGATCCTACTCAATGTAACATCACTCTTTCAATACACCATATCTGCAGTTTAACGCTCACAATTGTAAATTATGTTTCAAGATAGGCACCTCTACAACAAACTTCAGTCTTACTAGCAAAAAATACTTGTCTTCACTGCTATTTTATTTTGAAATAGCTTGTAAAAAAACTCCTCTGCACTGAGTTACTTTTGTTCTCCAGCAGAAAACACCATTTGCTGATCCTTAATAAATTCATCCATAGCTTCAAGGGCAGTGCAGTTCAATTTTATCTGCTAAAATTCATTCATAAATGACTTTCCTTTATTTGTAAATACAATTATTTAAGCACTACATTTGAACTTTTTTCCCACTGAAATGCCACATTATATTTCCAAACTAATATTTTATCAGCAGCATTTATACCTCATAGGTCTAGTGATAAAATTCTATAATACAACTTAATTGTTTTTAAATTAAATTAACTCTTTGGTATACTTATAGTTGGAAAACTTGCTGAAGACACATAAGAACTGGAGTCACTGATTTTTATCCTTCATTATTTAAGATTAGGAAGAAATAGAACTTCAGGCAGTCCCACACAGTGACCTGAGCACTACATTACAGCAGGCTCAAATCTACTTTCTCTCTCACAACTGGTTTTATGTTTTCTACAGCACATTTCCTATCATGATCAAAAAAAAAGATACTTTCTCAGAGAAATTAAAATTTAACATATCCTTGACCAACATAAAAAGATTTAAAATGGGATAAAATATAAAGGGGAAAAAAGTGCAATGTGTTGCACTATATGAAGAACAGCCATCTGTATGAAAGAAGAAAAGCTCTTCTTCACCATGTCTTAAACAATGGAAACAGGTATGTAGGACTGAGGATTGGCAGAACAATATGGGCATCAATATTTTGTTGTTGCAATAAAGGCAAACACTTTCTTCACATTCTTTCCTATTGATTTGTTTTTTCTTAATCTTACAAGACAGTACCTAGAAGTACAAATAAAAGTAAAGTTCATTAGCTGGGTACTAGAGAAGGTTCCTTAAACACTGCTGAATGTGAGGGAACAAAATTTCATGCCCATTAAGTAATCCATCACCAGTGTTGCATTTAATACATCTTAGTATATTGTTTCCTTTTATACAATATTATGTCAGTATTGTTTCATGGCTACACTATATCAAAGAGGTAATGAGCTAAAAAGGGTCATGAAAGAAACAAAAAAATTAAAAGTGGTCAGAGATCTGTAAATTAGGATGTGTAGGTAATT